TATTTGGATGATTGAATTGAAGTTTCCAAAAATATGAAGTATGAATTTGCATTAAACTATAGTTGGATGACTCAATTAAAGTTTCAAAGAAGTTGAAGTGTGAAATTGCATTTAAACTATAGCTGGATGACCCAATTGAAGTTTTGGAGAAGTTGAACTGTTGAAGTGTTCAATTGCTTACAAACTATAGTTAGATGACCCAAATGAAATTTCTATAAAGTTGAAGGATGAAATTAACGCTAAATAATAGCTAAGCCCTTGTTTGGGGCCCATTACATTACATTAAATTTTTCTCTCTTCATTTCGACCACACATTCATCAAATAAAATAATATTACACACAAATCAAAAAAATTTCAACTCCCAAAAATATAAAATAATGGGGGCCAAACAGGGGCTAAATGACAAAACTTCTATTTTCCCATAGTTGAAGGATTGAATTACTTTTAAACTATAGTTGGTGACCCAATTGAAGTTCGCTAAAAGCTGAAGGATGAATTTGCTTTTAAACTATAGTTGGATGACCCAATTAAATTTGCTAAAAGATAAAGGATGAATTTTTCTTCAGAATATAGTTGGATAATGGAATTGATGTTTGCTAAAAATGAGTGATGAAATTGCACTCAAACTATAGTTAGATGACCCAATTGAAGTTGTCCAAAAGTAGAAGGATTAAATTGATTTTAAACTATAGATGGATTACTCAATTGAAGAATCCGAAAAGTTGAAGAATGAATTGTTGTTAAACTATAGTTCGATGACCAATTTGAGGTTTACGAAAAGATGAAGGATTAAATTTCAACTTCGAAAAGGTTCAGGTTAAATTGCTTTTGAAAAATAGTTGGATTGCTGAATTGGAAATTTGTAAAGTTGATGGAAACCCTAATCCACTTTAAAACCCTAAACCACCTTAAAACCCAAAAGCAATTGCAAAGCAATGATCCTTGAACTTTTTGAGCGTTCAATTTGGCATCAATCTATTGGTCAAAGCGATTTCATCCTTCAACTTATTGTAAAATCAATTCAGTTTTTTAACTCATGACAACTTCAATTGGATCATCCGACTATAGTCTAAATGCAATTTTATCCTTCAACTTTTACCAAATTTTAAATCGGTCTTCCGTCTATAGTGTTTAAAAAGCAAACTCATCCTTTAAAATTTAGAAAAATTCAATTGAGTAATCCAACTATAATATAAAAGTAATTTAATCAACTTCTAGTCATTTATTTTCATTTTCCTTGATCATCGAGGATGTGTTTTACTACCTTATTTATCGTCGATTCTGTGGAAGGTTTCTTATTCCCACTGGACTTCTTTTTTATATTGTCGACACTCATTTATCTTCTTTCTTGGTTTCATAGTATTTTTTGATTAAACACTCTTGGATCTTATATCACCACCTTATGGAACAATATATGGCATTAGAATTGCCCTAATATTTCACATATCATGCTACGGTCACGTATCTGCAATTTTACTATAATATAAAAGTAATTTAATCCTTCAATTTCTATAAAACTTCAATTAGGTCATCAAACTATAATATAAAATCAATTTAGTCCTTAAGTCCCATGACCTCAATGTTGCCGTCAGAGCAGGCATGGACGATCATCTTGATGAGGGCTAGTGCAAGAGATGATGGGGGCACCGTCGGTCTACCATCGTCGGGAAGTGAAGAGCAGAGATGATGGGGAAGATGATATTGCCAGAAACACTTTTTTTTGACAACTATCATTTTAAAGTTAAAAGAAGAAATCCGAAAGAGAGAGGAGTGAAAATGTGTTGAAAAACAATTAACATGAATTTTTAGCAGAATTTGTGAGGAGTGTAGCGAGAGAAAAGAGTTTTTGGACAAGAAAGTGATGCAGCAACTCTTAGAGAGAGAGAGAGAGAGCTACCAAGATTGTAATGTATACAGTTGTCACCCCATTTTGGCAATTACATAATTACTTGTTCTAAAATTTACGTTTGATTGAAAATTGGATTATATTTTCATATATATATATAATTTTTTCATTTTAGTGCATTTATATATTATTAAAAGAACTTTTAATATTATTTAAGTAAATATTAATAAATAATCTCGTTATTGCGGTCGTTGACGGTCGATATCAACGACTATCCGAACTCGCCAACAATTATGGATCCGCCACTGCTTTTTTCTGATGCTATTTATCCATTTAAGACTTTATATTTTCCCATTCGTGATCAAGAGGCTTGATTCACTTCATATATATCTCGTCACGTATACATGACTAGAGGTTGATTTAACTAAAAAGCCCTTGTATCATATACATTTAAGACTACTTTTACATTTGAATATTATATACATTCTTTGGTCTCTCTTTTAGCAATATATCATTTAAAATGAGATTGATTTAACTAAAAATCCCTGGTACAAAAAAAGATGAAAAAATCAAGAATTGGTTATAGCTAATTTGCTCAAAGTAAATTATAAAAATATAATGTGACAAGTTCAACATAATTTAATTTTAAGTATATAAATTTACTTATTTTATTCATAAGTAGTGTCGATGATACAAATCAAATCAATAAATCTTACTCGCCTAGCTACATTTTTCGCTTTCTAAATTTACTAATTTGAATGCTCAAACAGGATTAAAAAGTAAAATAACTATTTGAGAGTGAGAAATTTGAATTGTATTGCTTCTTCTTCAAATGATGGGATACCTATAGATTTTTCTTCAAGCATTGGTGTAGCTCGACCATTTTGGGAGAATGAAAGATTGCAGATCCTTATTCACTATCTTATAACTTATTCGGTTATCATTCATGCTTTGTTCACTTGCCCATGTGCTTTTTTATTTCCAGTCTATGGCAGTTTGGATATGGAAAATGATTCGTGACTTTTAGGCAAGCCTTCTACTTCTTCTTCTCCCTTGCGTGTCGCTTAATGCTTCGCCAATAGGGGTAATCATGCAAGTTTCTTTAGTTGGTTCAAAAAATAGTCCCCCAAGTCTGCTTTTATTATTTATATTAAATTTAGTACTTTTTTGTTTTGTCATTTTGAAGTTGCGAACTTTTCTGGCATGGACTTGATTTACTTTGTAATTAATGTTTTGACCAAATAGATTGTTGCTAGAGTCTTTTAATGCCATTTACACGTGATTTCAATAAATTTTCTTTTGACTTTTCATATTCCTCTTGTTATGTGCTTGCTTATGGCCATTCATCTTGTATCTTTGCTTGTTTAAGGGCCAAGATTGTATGATGTTTCAGATGAAAGAATATTATGATTTTATGGCTATGATAGGATCCCTCTAGCACTATGTATACTCAACTTGTTGTCATTTATTTTCATTTTCCTTGATCATTGAGGTTGTGTGGAAGGTTTCTTATTCCCACTGGGCTTCTTTTTTATGTTGTCGACATTCATTTATCTTCTTTCTTGGTTTCATAGTATTTTTCTGATGAAACACTCTTGGATCTTATATCACCACCTTATGAACAAGATATGGCTTTAGAATTGCCCTAATATTTCATCTATCATGCTACAGTCACGTATCTACAATTTTGATTCTATCGTGTATGATTGAAAAGCCGGCAGAGAACGATTTTGAAGTTAGGAAACCGACCATGCTCTTGCATCTTCCTCAGATATGTATTTGTGAGGAATCACTACATAGTTTAAGATATTATGATAAACCTTCATGCATTTTCTTCACGACAAACACTTGGTCAACTTCCAGAGACTGCTTTGAGCAAAGGAATTGAATTTATTATTTATCTCTCCCTCATCCTCTGACTTTAGGTATCTTCACGGGAACAATGATTATGCATGGAGACTGGATTCATGGAACATGTCTTTCGACCCCGTAATAGTTCT